GAGAAAACTAATCCCCACCACCATTTTTTTGACTTTTCTTCTTTTTCCATCTGCTTTTTTTTTTTTTTTTTTTTTCCCTCCGGAGGTGCAGGGGGGGGAACCCCAGCCCCCCCACCTGCCCCATCCCTCCCCGAGCAGGATCCCCCCCCCCAGGCAAGCTCAGCGAGCGCTTTGCCGTCGCCTTCCTCATTTTATTGCTCTTATATCCATAGATATTTTTTCTTCTCGCGTGTGTGGGTGCGAGTGCGGTGCCTGTCAAGGGGCTGTTTCTCTCCCCACCCTCCTCCTCCTCCTTCTTCCAAATATGCTTTTTGCAAGTTTTGATCTCGTCTCGGCACTGGCTACCCTCGCGGCGTGCTTGGTGTCACTGACTTTGCTGCTGGCCGTATCCCAACAGCTGTGGCAGCTCCGCTGGGCTGCCACCCGCGACAAAACCTGCAAGCTACCAATCCCTAAAGGCTCTATGGGATTCCCTTTAATCGGCGAAACCTTCCACTGGCTCCTGCAGGTAAGGAGGATTCCCTCTCCCTTCCTCCCTCCCTGGAAGGTGGGTCGGGACCGGCTGCGTTTTTTTTTTTTTTTCTTTCCCCTCCTTTTTTTCTTCTGCTCCTTTTTCCTTGTACTCTGGTGTATTTTCTTTTACTCTTTTTCTTACTCCTTTCCCCCTCCTGCTTTTCCTTTTGCCCGCGTTGCGATTGCATCATGCGGGCTTGCAGCGGGGCCGGGGCAGTGCAGAGCGGGGCGGCCGCCGCGCTGCCCTCCTCGCCCCCCACCCAACCCTGGAGGGGGCTTCCCCCCCATAATATTCCCCCCCTCCCCGGTCGGAATCATTGCAGAACTAACCTGGGGGTGGGAATCAACCCCGGGGGGCGATGTGACGGCGGAGGGGGTTGGGGGGCGCGTTTTCCTTCGCCCCGCTGCTCCCCCCCAGCTCCAGGCTTCCTATTTTTTTTTAGCCCTGAAATGGGGGGGCTTTGGGGGTTCCCGGGGGAAGCCCGCGGGGGTAATGGGTAGATTAACCCGGGATTAACCTCGCTAAGTGCCGAACAGCGCCGGGCGGAGCGGGATCCCCTTCAGACGGCGTCGGGAGCCTGGGGTGGGGGGTGGGGGGGTGCCAAAAATGAGGGGGAAAAATAGAGAAAAGGCAGGGAAAGAGAGTGGAGGAGAGCGGGCGGGCGCGGGCTGCCCTTTTGGGGGGGGACACTACGGCAAGGGGACACCGTGAGGGACGCGGTGGGGTCTCTCCTTGAAAGGGGGGGAAACCCGCGGGGAAAAAAATAAATGCCCACCCCCGCGGCTTGCACCAGGCTCCAAAATAGCGCCCGGACCCRGTGCGAGGATGCGCCCGGGTCGCGGTGCCTTGACGGGCTCGCAAGGCGGTGGGGGGCGCGCAGGCTGCGCGCCCCGCGCAGCGCCCCGCGCCCGCGCGGCGCCCGAGGGGTTAACGGCGCGCTCTCAATAGGGCTTTATTTTTTAAAGAAATTTATCAGATTTTTTTTTTTTTTTTTTTTTTTTTTTTTTTTTAACGGGGGGACCAGAAAAGGGTTCTCGCTTTTCCACAGGCTCCATCCAAACAGAGCGCCGGGCTAAAAATACAAAAAAATTTTGTATAAATTGGACTCCGCTCGCAACTTGCTCCCACATAAAGGTCCTCTTTGTGCGGCCCTGGAAATGGTGTACAAATAACTCTTTATTAATGCCACAAAAAGGACTTTAATTATATTTACGCAGATCAAGAACCCGGGTCACCTGAACATCTGACACTCACAACCGCGCTTTTGTTGCAAAATAAACACACGCTTTGGGGAGCTGCGATGCGCGCAGCGCTTCCCCCCGCGCCCCCGGGCTGCCTTGGAGGGGGGGAACCCCCGAGAGCTGCTCGCCGCCCCCGGCACTTTATTTCATATATATACACATATATATATATATTTTCCCCAAGCGGCTTCCCCGCTCTTGACAAAASCCCTCGGAGCATGTGGGAAAGTTATTAAAGCCCTGCAGAATCTGCAGACTTACTTAGGCAAATTGCAGCC